TTTGAATAACTTGATACTTATATTTTATGATTGTGTACTTTTTAAGTGAATTTTCTTACTAAAACAGTGTTCTCTTCGCATATTCTGTAATTCTAGTTCTATTATTTGTACAGGTTAGTTTATCTTTGAGGCCGATTTTCTCAAAACCTGGTTCTCATACACCTAAACTTTAAATGCTAATATCTCTGGATATATTTATCCTAGGGAAGCCATTCAAAGACCAAATTAAAGCTTATAATGTGATCTACCAAAATCTAATATTAACTCATTTTTTTATTTTCTAACAATGAGACTCATTTTGTAGTGAGACCTCACATTTCTTATGAGGATTGTCATCAATGTTAATCTTAGTACAGTTTTGTTGTGTGCAGAGGTTATTCAGCCAGTATTTGACACACACACCTAATCCGGATATTGTTTATAATTATTGTCCCATGCAAAATACAAAAAAAAAAATCTTAAAAATCATTTTTTTAATTAACATGCTTATATTGAAGTACCATAAAATTTATGACTAAACATATTTACCCATAATTTTACAGTGAAAAATGATAGAAACACTCAGTCTAGTCACTGGAAGTGTTTAATTTTTAATCATTTTCCAGTATAAAATCAGGGTACACACTTTTTTGAATTCAAAAATTCCCATGTCATTTTCAGGGGACAATACATCTTTAATGTCAGTGGGAGGCATTTCTCAATGACGTTTTAGAGATTTGTGTACAATTCTTGTTTTTAGCGTGGTTACTGGTAATGGGTTTATATTGCGCCTTTCCATTGTGGTTATGAAGCGCAAATATATTTCAGTTACAGCTTCTTTTACACCAAACTGCTTCATATTAAATAATAGTGTTCTTAACTTGGCTGAGTATGTTTCTCATCATTCTGTTAATTCCACAAGCTTTGGTATTAAGTAGATTAGGGGAAGGCTACGGTAACACTAGAGTTTCAAGCCTGGCTTGACTCACCGCGGGTGAGATTTTCGTAATGTGACCGCATCTGCACCGACTCGCGCCTGGCGTGACCTCAATCTCAATCTACCAATCTCGATTCCGGCTCAGCACCCATATTGACCCTGGATTGACCATGGCGTGATCGAGATTGACATTTCCTCGTCGGCTGTCAACCAATCACAGTCAATGACGCCGTTGCGTTTAGAAGTTCTTGAATAAAAAACCTGCAAGTTCTTCATGTGTGTTCAATCAAGACGCAATCATTACTTTTCATAAAAGTTAATTCAAATTTTAATTAATAATAATGCGATTGATTTGGAGCGACCAGGAAACTGCTGACCTGGTAGATTTGTGGGGCCAACCCGAGCTGAGAGTCCGGATAGAAAATAAAAAAACAAAACAACAAAACTGGAATTTTTGGCGTGCTTCCTGAGAGATTAGCCAGTCTCGGACATGAGAAGAGAACGACGGCCCAAATTCAAACAAAAGTGAAGGCATTGCGAGCCCAATAAAAGATCAGTTGAAGAAGAGTGGTTCGGGCACGTCTGGTGTAAAATCTTTGCGATCCACCCAATCACACGCGCGTATATCGAATCCCGTGAACTTTACGGCTCTGCTGTTTCGGCTTTCATAATTTAGAGGTCAATCCAACTAGTGTGACCGACCCAGAATTTCGAGTCTGGCTTGAAATCTCACTCGCGGTGAGTCAGGCCAGGCTTGAGACGCTAGTGAGACCATAGCCTTAAGTATTTTGACGATAATTATATTATGACAGACTACAGGAGTAGTAAAAACATTTGATGAAATAAGTTTTAGTGATTCTAAATTTAAAGATATACTTACTTGGGTATATACCGTAAACCCCTGAATTGAAGCCCAGTGGGCTTAATCTCGAGATGAAGCCCATCTTCAATTGAAGCCCTCCTCTTTAGTTTGCAAAATTTGCCTCGAAAAGAAGCCCATCTCAAAAGAGACTCATGGGCTTCTTTTCAAGATAGCATAGTCTTCTTTTCAAGATACAGTAGTACAGTACATACACTGTACATGAATTTCAGAAAACAAAATAAATTAAATACAAGCTTGGTTTATAAAGCGGTTTTTGTGAATTATTGCCACTTAAATACACTCCATTGATGTTACAGTGGCTTTATTTATTGTTTTATAATACAAATTCACAAAATTTACAGCATTCATTTTGAAAAGAAGCCCCCTTTTTACTTTGCAAATGTAGTCTCGAAAAGAAGCCCATTTAAAAAAAAGCCCATCGAAAGTTCGCAAAAAAAAAAGAAGCCCAGGGCTTCAATTTGAGGTTTTACGGTATTATACATATTAAGATAAGCGTTGACAAAGACTACAGGAGTATTTGAAACATTTGTTGAAATATATTTTAGTGGTTCTAAATTGGAGTCAAAATTACCTGGGTCTGGGTGTATATATTATTTATAGTACTGTAGATAAATACTTAATGTACACTTTTATTAGGCAATAATTCAAGCTTGCTCACATTCTGAGCTCACTCAGACATACTGTACAAGTAGGTGTAGACTAATACTGTACTTCATAATCGCTCAGAAATTTAGTCAATTGATTTAACCTGCAAGTCCGAAGAAATTGTCCTACTGGGATTCAAACGAACATGGGATCTTCTGCTGTCTATGCAGCTACCTTAACCAACTGGACCACTGACAGTGGGGCTTTTGTTGGAATTTTGTTGAATCTAATTGGAGGTAATGGATTTAACATTGCAGTATTTGGTATGCAGACATGTGAAACATATCAATGTTTATGCTTCTTTAGCATAATCTTAAACAGCATTAAATGTGTAATATTTTTATAATATAATGTATATTACAGAAGTTATATAGCAATGTTTTACCTAGTTACTTTTAAAATGTACAGTATGATTTATTACTCGCAATTCATTCCCGGTTGTCACTATGTGTGTATTTTGTAAGACAAATCTTTATGTTCAATTTAAACATGAGTGCAATGGATTAGGTCTTTCATAGTTAAAACTGGTTTCAATCTTGAACTGTGAATTTACAAATCATATATTTAAGTGTATTTAATTTACTCATGTTTGTTTTATTCAGTGTTGTTTTGCTCGAGTATTGTTGTGAAGGACTTGAGTTACTGAGTAAGGGCTGTGGTTAATACAAGATGATTCCCTTTTCTTTTAATTATTGTAACTCATCGAAGTCTTGATGGACCAGAAGTCTAATGTCACATTTGAAATGCAGCTTATTAGTAAACCTGAGAATTCAATTCCATTTTTTAAGCTTAATTAAAAAAAAAAGAAATGGAAAAATTACACCAACAAAATTGTTGATGCATTTGAAAATAATAATTTAGCAATTTGAGTTTTTATTGATCTTTCAAAGGCTTTCAACACTATTGACCACCAGGTACTCTTATTTAAGTTGTCTCATGGTATCCAGGGTCCTGCATTAAATCTTTTTTGACTGACCGTTATCAATGCACTAAGTATGCCAATTATACCTCTAATTTTTCTCTGTAACATGTGGCATCCCCCAAGGTTCATTATTAGGTCCTCTTTTATATATTTTGTACATTAATGACATTTATAGATCTTCAAATTCCCTCTCTTTCTTTATGCTGATGACACAACTGCATTTTATTCTTCCAAAGATATTCATTCTCTGTTCCATACTATAATTCATAATATGATGCTCATGTCCCAATATTTTGCATGTAACAAGCTATCCATTAATCATAAAAAATGCAGTTTCATTCTCTTTCGGAGCCCTCAAAAGGATAAATTCATTGACTCTATAACATATAACATTTTTATTGATAATCACATTATACCCAAGGTCCAAAGTGCCAAATTTGTAGGAGTTTACCTTGACAGTGGGTTAATGTGGAAAACGCACATTAAAGAAATAAAAAACAAAGAGCCTTGGTGTCATTAGCACCATACAAGAGCTAGTTCATCAATTTACATCCCAGCCCACAAAACGAATTACTTCCAACATATTATTAGATTTTCTGGACCCAAATTATGGAACAACCTACCTTCATCAATTGTTAACACCAAATCCCTTAAAATTTATATGGCTAAATTATAAAATCACACATTATTAAATTCCACATACGGTATCTTACTATACTAAACCTCAACAAGCTTCTCTCGGCTTCCCAGTCTTAATTTGATACTTATTTATTTATTTTTATTTTTTAATTTTTTTTTTGTATTTTATTTTGTTGCTGTTGTGCTTTGTCCTTTTTCCTGTCTTCGCTATATTTTTTTTATTTAGGCTGGCCCAACACAAGATTTGCTTCAAATCTTTTTGGGCATTTGCCTTCTTCCCTTTCCAAATCTTTGTTTTTTAGTATTTGATTAAATTTTTTATAATTTTCCATAAATAATATTATTAAGATTGCATGAGGAAGTAAATAAATGTTTCTTTTGAATTGAATAGAATTATCAACCAAGCCGTTCCTTGCGATTTTCATCCGACAAATAAATTCTCAATGTACCTAATACCAACCTTACAAATTCAATAGCTCACAAAGGCTTCTTCGCTGCTGCACCTATACTTGGAACAAACTCCCTTGTGTCCTAGTCGGTCCTCAAAACGCATCTTTATTTTTCATTATTTCATCGAATATTTCATAAAGCCATAAAGCATAGTGCTGGTCGCTGTGGCAATGCCAGTGCAATATACATGAGTAATAATTTCTCAAATTAAGTTCATATTAGATAAGTTTGATTTACATTTTCCAATGCTGACCAGCAAATGCTATCTCTGCATACCTTTAATGTTCCAATAAGCGCTTCATAATTTGGTGGCTTCAGTGCTAACTGAAAGTTGTTTATTAATTATTGTAATGCTTTAGTTTTACTATGTCCTGTGCAAACTGACCTTTAACTAACACTAATGTTTACTATTTAATCTCTAAAAAATTAGTTTTTTAATTTGTACGCGTACCCACTAGAAAACATATAAGCATGTTGGCCATGTAAACATTAAACCTTACACATATTTTTTTTATAATATCAAACACAGCAGGGGCAGCACTTACTGCCATTTATGGGATAGAATGTTAAGAACATGTATCCAATTTTATGCTGGATGTAAGATGTATGGATGTCAAAAACACAATAAAAAGACTCAAAAGCAATACTTTAGATCAAAATGAAATGTTTTTTGCACTTAAAATGATAGAAAATATGAGATATAACATGGAACAAGGTACACATATGGTAGTAGTTAAAATACACCTGTCAAATATACATAGAATCATTGCAATGCAGGGTACATTGTTACATTTTTGTCAACACAATAAAGATTACAGTATCAAGAGGTGCTGAGAGCTAATTTCAAGCCCTTCAATTGCCCATTATTAACTCTCACTACCCACGACACGGCAGTGAGTATGGTGTAATCTAATGTGCTGAGGAGTGCAACAGCACATTATTCCAATGAGACTCAATCGATAGCGGCTTTTACAACAGTTAACAACTTAATCCTGGCAACAGTCAACATTCAACAAATAAATCATGTACATAGGTGCATTACATACAACCACACAAGCCACATGGATACATAGATGTATATATATATATATGCATTTACATGTGCATAATTATATGCAAACACGTATTTATATACTTAGTTATTTACATAGTCATACATATGTGTCATTAAAATGACCACTCGATAATTAGGATTACCAATGTAAACAAAAATAGTACTTTTTTGGCTATAATTAAAATGATTCTAGTATAGTGAATAATGTTATCAATAATTTAATAATAATTCTAATAATAATTATCATTTCTAGTCTCTCTCCACGCTATCAATTTTTATGTCACAATAATCTGTCAGTTGCCCATATATGGGCATGATGGTGTCATATCGCACCCATAAAACTTGATATTGAACCGGTTTACACCTTGCACCCAGTAGCATAACAGCTATGAGCTGACAGGGAGTGAAGTCCTGGGTACCCGGATGCACTCTTCTTTTAACAGAGCCTTGACATTATGGTCCAACAAAAGACGCCCAAACCTAGCCAATTAAAACAATGTAATTCTTTTTAACTCATGAATTTCTTATATGGACTCTTATGACAACACACTTCTTTTTACAATATCAATTTCCTACATAATGGTGTTTCACAGCTGACTCTACTACGACATGAAATTAGGAAGAAACAGCTACTAGAATTCAGAGATTGAATACTAATTCAAATTATGGTACCCTACAGTATAACAGGCTATGATATTGTTTATATTCTACTATGAAGGGGCCCCTCATTGGACACTTGTAATCAATTTCGAAAATGTAAGGTCCATTTTCTCACCCCCATGATTTGTCATTAAGCCAAAGTTGGCACAGTGGAAAAATATCCTATATATCATGCCAGTACAAGAAATTTAAAAGCCAGACTCCAGAAGAAGAAATTTTGATATGTTGTACTAAGCAATAAAAAACCCAAAGGTTGTTTACATTGAATAAAGCTTTGGGAATGCAGAGAAGAATTATCTATTTTTACTTTTTAATATTTCAGCACTTGAGGAGGAGTGCTAATTGACTGGGATGTCAGCATATTTAATTAAAAAATAAAAATTATCTTGAATACAAAAAAAGCTGTAGTGGCGCATTCAGCAACACACTGCAATACGAGTATGCTCAATGTTGACAGTTAACAGGTTAGTAATTTCACCAAATATGTTAATTACATCCAAGAAGAAATTGCTTATTTAACTTTAAAATAATTAATAATTTCCTGACTAATATGCGCATTTCAAAAGACGAACCACCTAATTCAAAACTACATAATTGCATAATTATTTCTGGATAAATTTTTTGCTACTAAATGATGCATGAGGAATCAACTTAATATATTAATTTTAATATATGCACCTTTCTGAGTATTTTAAAAGCTTATAAGAAATGCCCCTCATAGCTTACCATACCATAAAAAATAAGAATTTGGCCAAGCTAGTAAAAAACCAAATGAATAAAAATACAACCATAAATGTACATTTGTAAATTCTCTTAAATAAAATTATATAATATTTCAGAAACTTGAAAGTCTATAATATTGTTCTTAAATTTAAATTGATATAACATATATTTTTGAAATAGTTAAAATTATTTATATTATGTTTCAAATAGATTTACATAAAACTCTTACTTTACATATGCATTTTCTTTTCCATTTTCTATTATCAACTGACCAATCAATTGTTGCATTTATATGATGCCATTCCAACAGTCAATTCTTGTGGGTTATTATCATTGGAGCAATATTGTCTATATTTTTAGGTAACAGGAGACACAGAACAATGGTTATATTGCTTGTCTTCAGGTTTGTATATCTGGGCTCATACCTGAAATTGCTCATGACTTAAATAAAAAGAAATTATTTACAGCTTAATCCTCACACTGTTGGCTATCTCTATAGCTGATAGGTATATTTAAAAAAAAAAAAAAAAATTTTCTTTTGTTTTGACATCTTAACTCTCAATTGGCATTAGAAACATGCTATAATGGAGATACCCCATTTCTGAAAATGAATTTTTCTTGTGAAGATCTCAAGTTTATAGCAAACAAACCGTTTCTTTAATGGAACACTGTCCAATATTTGACTCTGCTGGCATATGACATAAATTGGCAAGTTCTGTACATATGAAAAAAAAACTCAATAAAACCAAATACTGATTTTATTAGGCTAGCAGACTCAAGTGTTCAGCCATAGCATACATTAAAATTTCTCAGAATGAATTCACTGTTCAACCATTAGAGCAAGCACGTTGATCCACAGTAGATACATTTTAGTCAATCAGCACAAAAGTTAACCATTGCGGGCTGGACACAGTTCAAACACACACAGCGAACACATTGGTTAGTAACCATTGCTGATTATTAAACGCATTTTGTTCACCCATAGAGGATTACAGCAGTTCATCTGTTGAACCCTAACAGATAATTGCTGGAAAGTTCACTCTAGTTGGCTTTAATCACCCATAGTGAGTTGGACTAGCCTACATGTTTTGCTCACTCATTGGCGGTTATAGCAGACAAGCGCATCAAGTCAATCAGTTCAAATGTAACCAAGCTTTGTCTTATGATAATGTTTGCTGGTACTTTTAATACTGAAATCAAAGCATTGTCAACTATCAGACATCAGTCTCTTTATTTGTGGAATCTGAAGATGACATCATCAACTCGTTGAAATGTGATTTGGTATTTTCCAGAAGTACAGCTGGTTTATCACATTCTACAATCTGAAATGAAAACGACAAAATCAATTGAAAAATTAGGAAATGGAATAACATGGGGTAGCATGGGGCAGTGTGTGCTAGCATGATATAAAGGATGGTATTTATTTATTCTTAGTTATTTGCCAGATTAAACAGACAGATAAATGGAAACGAAAAAAATAAGACAAACCTGTCCATTTTTTAAAACAAGAATTCGATCAGAGTCAAGGACAGTATGTATTCGATGAGCGATGGTGAGTATTGTACAATCGCTAAATGCTTCTTTCAGCGTGGTCTGAATAACAGTGTCTGTCTCTGTGTCTATTGCAGCAGTTGCTTCATCTAACATCAGAATCTAGAATATGTGCACAGTCATTTGTTAATTTTATGCTAATCTACATGTATTTTTAAATTTTATAAAAAAAACTGGATTCACTTGTTACTCATAAAAAATCACTTAGCAAACAGGTCTAAATCTGTCCACGATATCAAATTTTGTGAAATATATGTGTGATGAACCCCTATATGGGCATCATGATAGATGCCATATTACACAAATGAGCAATTATTTGTCACATAATCTGATAGTATAAACAAACATTAAGATAATGCAAATGTTACAAAGAAAATGTAATAAAACTTTAGTTTTCAAATGTTAAAATTTTGTCAGACGATGCATATACAAACATGTTACAGTTACTTCTTTAGACCTGAAAATGTAATTACTGTTTGTTTAATAATTTTGCAAACTGATCAGAGAGGGAAACTTGTCACACATAGCTAATATACTGGATATCCTTACACTTGTTAACTTACCTTGTTGTTCCTAAGTAGTGCCCTAGCCATACACAGAAGTTGCTTCTCACCAACTGAAAAGTTGTCACCATTATTTGCTACAGCAGCTTCTAACTGTTGATCAAGTCCATGTACCTACAAAAACACAAACAATATCTTGCATAGATATGTCCGATACATGTGATTACAATGGTTTAATAGGAAATCGTATTTGAGAAGAAAACATTCATGTTTTAAATTTTTTTAATGTTTAGGACCCCCATTGGCAAAAAGTCCTTTGACTTTATGGGTAATCCAGGCATCTTAATTTCTAATGTTTTGTAAGATCATTTCTTTTTTGTTTAATGTCACATCTTTAGTAACTTGTTTCAAACTGAATAGTTTTATGTTTACTTTTGATGCCCAAATTGTAAAGGTAAATTTTTTACCCCATTGGAAATCTTTTCAACCTTATGCATAATCCTGGTTTCTTATATTTTTGTAAATTTATCTGTATTGTCATACTGTATATTGGAAACCAAATAAATTCAAATCAAATCAATCAACTCTTTTTTGGTCTAAGATGCTTAGATGCCTTGGCAATATTTGCTACACATGCCTACTATTATTAATGGCCAGGAAGTTAGCAGGAAAAAGTTATAAGGGGTGGGAGCATAGGTTTAGCCAGCGAGCCGTCCGGCCGTCTTTTGGATGGCCTACAATTATTTAGGACGGCCACTTTTACCGTGACGGCTTGGACGGTTTGGCCTAATCAGCTTGGCCTAGCCTAATTGGGCCTGGTCTACCTTTAGCAAATTCCTTATATTCTTCAAATCTATCGAATGTTACATTAAACTAAACCTAAATAATATTTACGTTTGATAAAAACAACAATTATTGATTGAATGTACGTTGTTTTCGTACCAATATTCTGTGGGGATTCATGAATATGGGCGTGGCCCATCCATCGGCTCAGTGCCAAACCCACTGGCTTCCATTTTGGAGAGCCTAATTCGTTTTTCTGGCTAAACCCCTGAGTGGGAGCATAGGGGCAGGAGCCATATGTATTTACTGTTTTCATTCATTTAAATACTCACAACTTTCTTCATCTTTGTCTTTTCAAGAGCGTTCCAAATTTCAACATCACTAAGTTCATTAAATGGATCCAAATTGTATCTGTATTAAAACAAATTGGACAATGTATAATATTATAAAATAAGCACACAGTAGATGTCAGGTTGTTGGTGGTAGTAGATGGTGGAAAACCACCATTTGCAAATCTTCTTTAAGGGGTTGTTTCTCTGAAGGCAAATCAATAGCATTCACTCTCATATTTAAAAATGAAAAGAAGGAGTGGAGTGTGTTTGCCTACAATACATTAATTATTTTTCTGGAAGCCTCACCTAAGTGTCCCTGCAAACAGCACTGGATCCTGTGGAATTATTGATATCTTTGAACGTAGCTCACTTAAAGCAATACCACCAGTATTCTGACTGTCAATTAGAATGCGCCCTCTTTCGCTCTCAACTAAACGGAACAGCGCCACTCCTAGAGAAGATTTACCTAAAAATCAAAATATCCTACTGAATAAGTTTTCCTTTAAAAATGTATAACATACAGGAGAATATAGAGGAAGTTAAATTGTATTTCGATGAAAATAAAGGAGACCTTGGCCACATTCATCCTGAGGTGCTGAAGCTGAAGACAAATGTTCTGGTTTGTGAGGTTATCTGATCTACCAAGCTGGACATCCATGTCTATGAGTGCTTCAGAAGAACTCCCTCCTCGTGCCAAGTTGAGCTGGGCTGAGTGGAAGTGCATGAACAGACTGAGAACAGGAACTGGCTGATGCAAAGTGTCACTATTGAATTGGGGATTTCTTCACACCAAGGACATCATGGGTGAATGTGGCACAGAGTAACAATCTATAAAACTCTTGAGATGCCCTATTTTAGAGCTAGAATGCCGAGCTGAGGACCTGGCACAGTACAGTGATTGTTCTAGAAACTGTGTCCAGCTCTGGCTAAAACAAAGTATCTAACAAGTGTGTAAACATGATAAAAAGAAGATACAATTGTAAATATTCCTTCTAATTACCTGATCCAGTTCTTCCTACAATCCCGATCTTCTCTTTTGACTTAATATGAAAATTAATATTATGCAAGACTTGTGGCAAGTTTGGTCTGTAGCGTAAACAAACATCCTTGAATTCAAGCTCGCCTTTTGAGGGCCACTGCTTTGTACTATCTTTATTTGTGCTACTATAAATTTCTTCTGTCGGTAAATCCTGATGTGAGAAAACATATAACAAATTAATCAAAAAGGTTTATATTACATATATAAGATGTAAAACTAATCCATATTAATAAATACATAAGATTAACTATTTAATAATATTAACATTAACACTGTAATAATAATGAGTAATATGATGAGTAACAATGATGGATGGGGTGGAAGGAGCAGCAACAACAGGGTCCACAGTGCTTAGCAACTCTAATGCAAGCAGTACAAAAAATACACATTGCATCCACATGATCTTACAGTGTTTATCTGTGACAATGGTGTATTTGTCTGGTCAATACTTACGTCTATATATTCAATTATTCGTTCTACAGACGTAAACCTTGCCTCAACTTCTGCTGACAATCTGACGGCAAACTGGAAGATGGCCATCATCTACTTGAAAAGTGACAAACAAAACATTGTGTTCAAAAGGAAGATTGTACAAATATGGTAAGGTTCAGTCATTATTATTGTTTTTTTACATGAAAATAAATCAATTGCAAGGCAAGACTTATTCCTTATTCCAATGATAATGATTTTGATTAAAAATGAAATTTAATTTTTTGCCAATTAGCGTACCCGCCACCACAAAAAATGGAAATTTAAGAAAAAAATAAAAGTTTTTCTTTATTTTCATTACACCCACTGCTGCCTTAAAATCTTCAACAATAAGGTATGTATATTTCTTCCTCAATATATAAAATTAACCATCACATGACTGCACAGATTACATTCACCAATAAAATTTTATTTTTATTTTCTCCTCCAACTGGATGTTTTTGGCAAACCATTTGATAAATTAGAAAAACAAATGTGTTTCCCCCGCCATCCTCTGACGATCTTTAAAAAATTAAGTCCGGGAAACAAGCTATAAAAAAAAATCTCGCCTAAAATATACAAATATTTTTCAAAATTTGCTTGCTTCTAAAATTTAAGTTTTGACAAACTTAATTTTTTTCAACTTTTATTTTTCTGTTTATATCAGAGATAAATCTTACTGCAGAAGGCAGCAATAGATAAAACAAACCCCCTTTTCTATATTATAAAATGTTATGAAAAAATAAACTCCAGAGTAGGGTATAACTAACCTGTAGCGAATATGTTAACGCTAGGCCACTGTAGGCAGCTGATACGGTACCGTGAAAAAGCACTACAAGTACTGCTGTTAACGTAGCCATAAGTGTTGAAACCAAGTCAAACCTCAGGCCTAGCCATCTACTGGCCATATTGAACAACAGCATTGCAACTGAGTGATCATCAATTAGACGCTCAAACCTTAAAACAGAAAATGGAAAAAAATCTTCATATATGCAACATTAAGTCTGTCTGTACTTCAGGAAACTAGAACTTTGAATTATGAATTAACTATTACGCCATTACACTATACAGTATATATTAAAAAAAATATTTTATGAAATACTGAGTATGTCAAATACTGATTTTATGAAATACTGAGTATGTCAAATACTGAGTATGTCAAATTTTGTGTGTATTTCCAAACATTCATTAATTTCTGTACATATAATTATGAGGTACTTTATAATGAATTAGTCATATTATTGTGCAATTATTATTAAGACATGCAACATTTAATTATATAATTTAATACTGTAAAAATTAATTTTATTATTAATACAATAATTATATTAACGAAAATATTGTGCAATTTAAGCAACTATTTACTTCTATATTAATAGTGTTTATGGATGTTGTGCTTTTTCCTTTGTTGTTTAAATTTGTAAATGTATAGTACGCCAGTTCAAATTACATTTCTGTTTTATATGAATGGACAATAAAGGATTATTGAGATTGAGATAATAAATTTTCTTGTATTTTGTGTGTTAAACTTACTGTTTTTCATAATGGTTTGTCTTATTATATGCTTGTATGGTTGGGAGCCCTGGTACAGTGGTGGCTATGTGTGTTATCCATGGTGATCGCAAAATGTTATCAAGCTGCTTGGATTCTCGGAAACCGTGACGAAACAGAGTAATTAGGAAACCAAAGATGATGACCATTATTACCACGGCAATGAGAAAATACGGAAATACTTTGGCAACTGTAACTAAGGAGAGGATGATGAGTAATGTCTGTTGAAGGAAGAGGTCCATGTTGAAAGGGAGACGTACATCCACTAGGAAAAAAAAAACAATTTAACATGATTATTGTTACTCACAAATTTATTTATAAACTGGAAATATTCAATAATGTAGAACATTTTAGAAAGTTGGAAAATCAGATGAATTTATGTCAAAAAGACAGGAAAATACCTAAAAAAATTTTAATAAATTTTGAATAGCTCATTTGAAAGATCAAATGAATTATTAGCCTTCAACAAAAACACACATTGTAAGTTTTCACTGATTAAAACACATTTTACAAAAATCCTTACATTCACTGGAAATAAATTAAAAGGAACTATGCAAAAGAATACCAGAAAGTTATTTGTTGGAAAATTTAGAGGGGATTTTTTTTTTTAAATTCCAATTTTCAATTTTAAGTTAATAACTTACTTAATTATGAAAATAATGCAATTCAAATATGGGATTAAAATTTACATTTTTTTTATTTACCTTATGACTGATAGCACATTAGTAATTGGAGAGGAGGCATTAAAGTTTGTGAATACTAATAATAACTGGATTGATTGGATTTGTACCAGTGCTCGACATACATACACATACAATAATGAAAATGATTTGTGAATGAAATAAAAATACTGAACATCAGGAAGACCCATTAAGCCCGAGTCTAGCACATTTCCAATGAGAAAAACTGAAACATCCCTTTAGCAATAATAGAACATTCTACCTGTTTTGAAATAAACAACATGGGATTTGCAATTGACAGAAATAGTAATTAATATATACAACAAAATAGTTGTTATTTATATAATTTAAAATAACAGCATGTATAATATAGAGATCAATAATAATATAAACAGCTTGGAAACTAATATTAACTCTGTCATGTTATCATAGAAGTGATGATGCAAAAAACTGATAATAACAAGCAGATCAAAACAAATCAGATTTTTGCTGAAATTTTACTACTAAAATCCTTAAATTGATTACTTTATTATTGGATCTAATCCTCAAGGTTTTTAGCACTTCAATTACAAATTATTCTTGTGCATGCTTCAGCAGTTCTTTCATTTTCTTGTAGCGAGTACCTGGGAATCAAGGTAAGCCCTTCAGCTGACAAACACAATCTACTTACGTTCGTCCATGTCTTTCGCAAAACGATTCATAATCCGACCAGATGGCACCGTCTCAAAAAAACTCATAGTAGCGGTGACAACTCTGTTGAACATCGAGTCGTGAAGCTTGGATGACGCACGCAACGTGACCTGTGGGGGGAATTCAAGATGTCATGGGGTAATGATTTGTAGTCATGTGACCTTTGGGGAAATTTCAGATGTCATGGGGTAATGATTTTGTTGTCATCTTCAAAAATTAATTTCACTTTGTTATGCATAAATATTCTGTACTAAAGTGCTTTGAAATATTTCTGTGGCTAAGGTAGGATATTACCTGAAGAAATGTTGATAAAGAATTAATAATATTTTTATTATTATATAATTTTGTATTTTCTTCAAATATACATAATACTGTACCTCAAAAAGTAAATCTGAACACTACTTAATTGACATTATTAAATTCATAAAATAAAATACTGTAATAATCAAAGATCACAGACAGAATGTCAAATTTTATGTTACAGAAACAAACCAATATTGTATTCTGTGATGAAATGCTTAATATATGGTTACCTTTGCAAAAAATGTGCTTCTAAGAATAGTGAGGAGAATGTAGACTATGACAATCATTCCATAGACTGTCTGGTAAAAGGCTAGGTCAGGATGATCTGTGATTTCCATACTTCTCATTGTAACATTTCCTTCATAAATTTCCTAATGAAAAAAATTTAAGTAAGTATTTAATGGGGGAGACGTATGCAGCAAAGCTCATCATTTGGAACCCTGGCTGTTCTTTAGACCATGTCCCTTTATGAGACTTGCGGACACCTGACCCTCTGCAATCCTCAATGTTCTAACTAAGTCTTTATTATGAGACTGAGGGTATGAAAACTCTAGCTGAATTTGAGAGCTTCAATGCACATGTAAGTCTCTTTATGAATGTTGGAGATTGGAGCTGGTGCTTACTCTCGACACTCTACAGCCAAATGTTTTATGCGAGGTTTTAAGAATGGAATGCTAGTCAATTTGGATTACTATTGCTCTGAATCGTGTCTCTATATATGGACAATGGAGAGCAGATTTGAGAACCTGGATGATCTATAACCAAGTCTATAAGGCTTGAGCAATACTAAGCTGGTCATCTGGGATCCTTAATGTTCTATATGATAATTGTAAAAAAAAACACAAGCACCCAAAACAAAGGATGGGCTTAAACCGTCACTGCCAATGGAGGTTTATGTATATAACATCAGTTTTCAGGATCAGGTGCCTCCTTAGCAGTTAGAAAATAACACTAGCATGATGTTGACAATGAATCAAAAAGTAAAAAAGGAGACGTTTAAAAAGTGGATGCAGATTCAATGACTTCAAAAGATAGATACAGTAACTATGTATAAACAACTTTGGACGAAACTTGGGAAGAAAAGATCCTTGAGCACTATTGCACTGGATACTGTATGTGCACTTTATAAATCTTATTATTATTATTATTAAAATTGTGCACTTCAAGACTTGCATTTACTGATTCCTTACCCCACCACCTTGACGTAGCCAATGGCTGAGCCACCAGTTGTTGAAGACAGCACAACCAATGGTGACGGCAAAGGTGAAGAGAACTACCACCAGTATCAGGTAGCCTCCTGCGGCTTGCACATACTGATGGTATGTCTTAGGATCAATCCTGCCCTCGCTCTTTTCCTCGTCATCTGGATTTGCTAAGTCTGAGAATTTGATTAAAGAAATATTTAACAATAACTCTTAAGGGTAATTTCTTTGACAATAAGTATTTTATAATTTGATCAATTTATCATTTAATCTTGATCTTAGATTTGTTAATCCATGTCCACTCTATGTGAGTGCTTGGCAACACGATGCCATATCCTGAATGTTGATGGCAAACTATGCAGACTTTATTTATTAATATTTATTTATTTATTTATTTAATCCTTCTTTATACTGTGTGCACTTTTCAGTACAGATACAGTGTAAATTGTAATAAACAATGCATAAAATAAAATACAATTTTAAATCATTATTTGAAATGATTTTGAATGAAAAGTTGACATCTCTTCGAAATTACTTTTTAATTTATGTGGGAGTTCATTCCAGCTTTTGGATGATCGATATAAAAAAATGTTCTTTTTTCCTGCCCGATATTATACAGTACATTGAAAGAACCAGGTTGTTATGGGTTTGGCTATGTGTGCCTTTAGAATGGGTAGTATTGTTAAAGGAGAACTAGCAAAATGATTTTGTGTTCTAGAGGGGATTTTTGATATGCCATTAATAATAGAATCGACCTTAAAATCGTTTTTTGGCAATTTTTTTATGAAGTTATAGGCCATTATATACGATTTTGCCGTGACGTCACTGGCAAAAAAAGTAACAAAAGATTGTGTAAGCGTGCGATCTTTGCGTGCATGCTGTAACCATGGCTGTAACTCATTTGTTGACAACCGCTGATGCATATCAAGTCATAGGCCTATGCATCTGGACATCACCGGACTCCAAGAAGCTTGCAATGGCCAAACATAAGCCAAGGGGATTTTTTTTAATTTTTTTTATTCAAACAAAAGGTGCTAATCACACTTCATTTTTTGCAACTGGTATCCGAGACTGGAATGCTCTACCCAATTATTTTAAAGAAATTACTGACCACAGGATGTTTAAGAGAAAGCTTAAAGAATTTTTACTTACTGATTTTTAATGTTTCATGTTTTTATCCTTTACTACATGCAGTTTTTATATTTACTCAATTAGTAATTTTAATATTCAATTTTAACTTTTACAATTTTTTAATTTTTAATTTTAAATTGGCCTATGTTTACCTATTTTATATATTTTACTATGTATTCTAAACCTTGCCAGATCACTATCTGTAAATATTCGCTCTTGTGCAATAATTACCCTGGCTTCTGGACCCCATTGGAAATAAGTCTGGTGTACAATCACTAGACTTAATGGGTCATCCAGGCATTCAATTTAGTACTCATCTCCTTTTTTTATGTTCGTTCTCAAAATGTTATTGTTATGTGTGTGATATTGAATGCAAAATAAATCAAATCAAAAGACATATAAAGATAACGTTGAAATCGAAGAAGCTCAAAATAACCATTCAAAAGTCGATGAGGAACAGGTAGAAAATAGGCTTGATAATTTAAACTGGTGCACTTAGTGGCCCACTTAGTGGCCAATGTCAGCTAATACCTAAAAACGATCGAAGAATGGCTGTTTTGTAGGGAAGCAGATGTTTGAAGAACTCTGGAATGGAATAGAAGAAAACTCAACTTCTTTTGTATTTCGAGCGGTACGAATACTGAAATTTTAGAAATTATCTTGGTAATCATGTGTTTTTTTTATTTCCACCCACTTGCCTAACACCTGAGACAAGTGTTTTTAGGGTCGGACAAGAATTAGGGACCATTTATTCGTGGACCAGCGCTTTTAGAATATGCTACTTTACCATGTACATGCGTAATACTTTTACAATATATAATTATACTAATAATTCCGATTCTTGACAACACGTAGCATATTTTATTAACAAATTGTCGGCACACAGATAAAAAAAAAAATAGCGACTACGGTTAGGCCTAGCCCACACTGCTGCGTGCTGTGTTCACCCAATTTTCGGCAACAATAACAATGCAGAACATGTCATGTATACTGTTATCAAAGGTCATACACTACTAAATGTCGGTATTGGTGAAACAAGTTTTTATTTATCATTTATTTATCAGTAACATTTGTTGACAGTTCCCGACTAAATTTGTGTTAAAAAAAAACTATTATACGACTCAATAGAAAATTTGTTATTTTCTGCAGTAAAGATTGAAAATTAATCCTTAATTGTTAACATGCTAGCCAGATCTCTCAGCGTAGAAGGTGTACATTAGACGTACAGTAGGTATATATTTTTGCACGATATCGTACCTGTTAGTTGCCATCCGTTTGGGCCTGTCACATGGTCTGTTTACAATATAAATTCACACTGGTCTAGTCTATAAATACCAGACATATTCAAATACCCTGGGTGCACAGCCATGTTGTTTAGTTGAGTTGGACGACATGAGATGTCTGGAATACAAGTAACTACTTTCGAGTACGAAAATAACAGCAGCCTATTAGGTCAATTTCAAAGAAAGCCTAGCCTATTTGTGTGCGTATGTGGGGAATGCAATCAACAGAGAAAGGGTCAGTTAAATTGGGATTTTAAGATGTCAACGTAACTAAAACCAAAAGAGTTACAGCCATGGTTACAGCATGCACTCAAAGACTGTACGCGGTGGATACCCTACACGGCATTATTTACATGATCTCTTGTTACTTCTGTTACCAGTGACGTCACGGTAAAGTCGTATATAAAAAATCATTTTGCTAGTTATCTTTTAAACATTTAATTTAAGACAAACATTGAGGAGCATATTCACGATTGTCGATGGCAAACTAAGTGGACTTTCATTAAAGAAATGATATGTTGTACAGGACTCGTGTTACATTCACCACAGTATCAGCTGAAAACTATTGGCTCAGTGTGTGCCCACCTAAAAGATATATGAGTGTGTATGATGATTATAATGATAAGATGATAGTGATGAGAGTGATTCTTATGATAATTATATTACATGATAATGGCATTGACAGCAAATTTTAAAACATACCATTTTGCGGAATCTCTTTTCTTTCTTCCTTCCTAGTTCCATTGTGCATCAACCCAACTTTCTTTAACTGCTCATGTGTTCCTTGAAGTCTTTGCTGACTTAGGTTGTTGTTATTCTTCTGTTTGCTATTGTAAGATCGCATTAGTCCAGCATAATCTCCATCGAGAGTAAGCAGGTCTGTATGAGAGCCTGTTTCACCAATTCTACCCGACTTCAGTAATACAATCTTGTCACACTGGCTTAAATACTAGTGTCAAAAATCATTTTAAAAAAGGAAACAGAAAATTCAGTAATATATCAGTATTATAAACACAATCTTGCAAATGTCTCTGTATGCTTCTCATTATTACATGATCATTACATTCAGTATCTGGTAGGAAAATATAGTCATCACATACAGGTCATGTTGGAAGGGAGTTGGATTTGTTCATGAAGTAAAATAAAGTTTATTCACACAATAGTCTTATGCGATATTTAGACCAAGAAAGAGAGTTTCCTTAAATGAGCAAAAGCTATTACCGAATAGATAATGTGGTGCAAAGTTATACTTGCCGTCTGTTAAGTGTAACGCCCACACACAACATTTGTTGCATTGCACTACAACATTTGCATTAAAATCAATTCCATTTTAATGCACTTATGAATCATAATAATTAAAAATAATCATACTTCATGTCCACCACATGTTAATGCTGATTCACGTCATTTATGGGTTTGTGATGCATTCTAAACAATCATAATTGTTGTCTCTGTGAAGGCTAATTCAAGATTTATGTAGATTTTTGACAACTTTGAAAAAAACGGTTATCAAATCTAGGTCTTTGTCAAGGCTGAATTAACTTTTCATTGGGTATCATAATCTGTCAAGGCCGATCCTAGGGGTTTTTCTAGGATGAACATGCGATTGAGACCTGACACTTTTCACATTTTGAATATGATCAGAAGGATTATAGCAGGCCTACATCGAATCACCACGTCAACACCAGGTGTGGGATTGTCAAGATCTACGGGCGCATTTGAGCACTACACAGAAATTGAATGTCTGAATTATCTTTCAGTTATTCAGAGGGTGGCCAAACGTTTGAGCAAATTTAGGTACTAACATACACGGCAAGGAACCTATTCCGTAAATAATGTATGGTAATCACTGCTAACTAGATCACCTATACCTTCAACCCATTCATTATTTATGTTGTTCATCTGACCAAATACTTTGATCATATCACCGTTTATTCCTTGAATACATTCTAGTATTCATATTTTATTATAAAAAATACAGATTGAACAGTTCAGTTTTTCTCTGATTCATAGACTTTTCTACAAAAACCCTTAAATTGATTACTAGCCAACTTAAAACTCTCCACACTATGAAATCATGTGACAAAATGTCTGTGATTTGACACATTAATGGAATGATGTTTTCATACCACACCCAAGCCTCGCCAAACTACAGATATGTCTCACTGAACTTTATAGTTAGAATATGCATTATATAAATGTAAAATCTTATCATAAATTTATTATTTAATAATGCATCTGTTTTGGTTTGTTGTGGATGTGAGTTTGGGGCTTTAACACTGCATTGGGCCGAAAATATGTGAAACAATGACAGTGGTGATGATCATGAAGATCATGATGATGACAATGATGATGAATGCATGTTAACTGGTAAGGAAAATATTTCCGCATACAGTACTAATATTCATTTACAAGTCACTAATTTGCTTGAATATCATATTAAAAGTAAACAACTTAAATATTGAATTTCAAGTTTATTAACTTAGCACAGAAAATACCCTTTAGGTTAAAGTTTAAGTTATGTAACAAACCAGCTAGCTACATGTCACCACCATAGAGAAGCACATGTAGCTATACTATATTCATCTACCTATATCAGAGTGTTACATAAAAGCAACAATTTTTTCTACTTAAAATGCTCAAGCAAACATTGTCAAATGTAATGCATAACCTTCTTGTAGTTATATACTGTACATTCAATTTTGTTTGGCAGTTTTTCAAGGTCAAACAATAATAACAAATTTCAACGAGAGGGGTTTTGTGGCTATCATTGTGAATTTAATGTACGCCTAAGGATATAAAACCATTTGTATTGTAAATTCAATACTCTAAAAATCATTAACACTGCTTATTTTTCCTAGGATGTAATAGGAAAGTGAAGTTGTTTTCAGTCACTCACATACCTGTCAACCTGGAGAAATTTCAAAGAGTAAGATCGGGTGACACAAATTAAGTGCCGAAGGCACAAACAGTGGCTGGGGGCCAGGGGCTGCCAAGGGCTCCCGGTCGGGGTCTAGGGGCTGAAGCCCCCTGGACTCTTTGGCTTAAATGGCATATCTAATCGATATTAGTGAGTTTACAATGATCTCAGATACAGTTGTTATTGAAAGATAGTTTAAGATAACGAAAGGCATCTTCCCTTCTTATGTTACACCTTTTTTTCAGCTTACATCCCAGGGAACGACTGTGTATTCAAAGGCCAAGCACATACTGTAGCTAGAGAGGGCGCAGTGATGACTATTTTAGTCGATATTAATGGCGATTTCATGGGGAGAAGGGCTTGCGCAGTGGACCGTATAATCATGGAGGGCGAATGTTATGATGATGAATGTTAGTTATAGTAAAATTCATTACCAATTGAAAAAGAAACAAAATTTACTCAAATTTTAGGATAGGCGAAAGTTTTGCCGGTGTCTACGTAATACCGTAAGATCTGTTTGGAATGCGTAAGACTTACGGCGAATGCGTATGGGTTGACAGGTCTGCACTCATGAAAAAATAAATAAATTTGTGGCAGGGCCCTAGGATTGGAAGGAAAAGTACACTGATGCAGCCATGTGACCTTATGAAATCACTAAATTTGATATGTGTTAATCAATGATGGGATCACAATATTCTTGTAATGACATTTAAATGTTTGAAAGGTACTGTTCCTGTCTATTTAAGGTACTGTTCGTGTCTATTTAAGTACGTTTTATGATTCTACTTCCGCTTAGTAGCAAACTTCATTGTTGAAGGCTACTGCTCCATAGTTACTGACCGTCTCGCATCGTGCGGGACAGTCACGCACTTCACAGTGATTTTGAATGAAACATATATTTTGCAGAAACACATGCATGATCATAAATTTGTCACGCATTTAGCACAAGTCTGTGCGTGATAATGAATTATCACAAATTCATGTTTGATAATCAATTCACCGAGAAAATTTCTCTTTCTTGTTTACAGTCAACAAAACACTTTTAAAACAGCTTCAAAATGCTCATCAACAGAGAACCAGCACACAGAGAACCGGGGCTCCACGTCTGGACCCCGTCGGAAGCCCCAACCAGACAAATGGTGTAGTCACTCACGCATTTCAAATCTCTCAGGTTGGTAACTATGCTGCTCCACTGGCTCTAGCGTTTGCAATTTTTATGCTTATTGATGACTGTCACAACAAAAATATAAGAAGCAATTTAAAAAACTTTGTCTTGCCAAAATTGCCAATGAATCTTGTAAAAACAACTATTAAGTATGATTCTCACTAACTTCAGAATAACCTACCATCACAGCATTATACATTCACTTACTTTAAAATCTTTCAAAAATCTGATTTAAATTTGCTTCGTATACTTTAATTCTTCATATAATTATTTATTATAATTTAATTTAGTATGTAAAATTGTAACTTAAATGTTTGTTATCTGGACCCCAAGGAAGAACAATGTCCCAAAATTGATTGAGTATCCGGAAAAAAGGAAAGATTTCTAACTAAATATATGTACACCAACCGCTTAGTACACAATTATGATGGTTTACCATATTACTTGATTTAAAGGAAAAACTCTATGTTGAGGTCAAAACCTCCAAAAAATTAGTATTACTCATTTGTAATAAAACGTATATTTCCAGATAACATTTTAAAAAGAGGGAATGATTGAACAGATGTTGAACATTTTGAATGACAATGTTTTACCACAGTAACCTAAATAAACTTGAACTTTTTCGAATCTTTCTGTCTGAATAATGCCTTTGACAAATAATTTCCCATATCTCGAAGGTTAACCTACAAATCATTACATGTAGCAGAACACAACAGATGGCACAAGCCATGCTCATACACTGGCCATCAGCAATCTTTACTCGTATATTTTATATCAAAAATATCAAACTCAAACATTATTTCTTAAAATGTTATAATTTCTCTCAAAACTGGTTATATTTGTTATATTATTGCTATCATATTATTGAGTACCACAATGCATAGTTTGTAATATATATATGTATTAATATTATCATAAGTACAGAAATTCAGCAAACATTTCTGAATTTAAAGAACACATTCTAATATAACTTTTGATATTGAAATTAATTGTTGAGTATTAAAATTAATTACTATACATGTTTGGTTTACTTTGAAACAGATAATTACCGGGTGAACAAGTTTTCCTGTTAAAATAAAGTAGTTATTATTATTATGATTATTTATTATTATTATTATTATTATTATTATTATTATTATTATTATTATTATTATTATTATTATAATTGTTATAGCTTAGTATAACATATATATATTATTATTATTAATTCTGGAACAATCAAGAATGGCAACGATTTAACTGCCCCTGGTCTAGGGACCTACCTACAGTAAGTGGGGTCTGGTGGCATGGCCTAAGTGGGATAGCCAGAAAAAAGGGCTCAAAAGCCCTCAAAGCTTTTTTCATCCACCAAACCCTGACATTTTTTATCACTCCTTTTCACCATAGTGGCCTGGGTTCTTGTCTTACCTGTTACATTTATGTGTCCATACGGTAAAACTTTCCAAAGTAAATGATGAAAAAAATTGTTTGGCGATAATAGACACACAAGAGTGGCCTGTTGGCATTGCTACTAAAAGATGTAACACCGTGCATAATAACCCCAAAATTGGAACAGTGATGTTATAATGCAAAGTTGGTGACCAAAAAACCTGACACATAAGTAACTAAGGGAAGTGTGGGTGGGTGAGTTTCCCCCCCACCCCGATTGGGGAAGAATGCAATGCCTTTTACAAAAAACAAACACCGCTAACTACCAATTCGAAGAAAAGAATGCACGCCTGCATAAAAGCGCACCATGCGCGTTCACAATGAGCTCGACTGAATAGAACAAAAAAGTTACCTACTGACCCCAAAACATAAGCTTGTAAAACAAACTTCCATTTTTCTATACTATCTCTATGAAGACAGCAGGCCTATATCTTAA